ACAGCGGAATTGTTTGCTTTTGGGCCCTTAACAACGTCCCTTTGAAATACTTCCAACTCTCCTCAGTTGTTTTTCCCTTCAGTCTTGCTTCCCATGGGACCTTACCTACAAGTTCTCTGAGCTTATCAAAATCTGCCTTCCTGAAATCCATTACCTCAACTGTGTTGGTCTCCCTTCTACCTTTCCTTAAGATCATGAACTCTATTATTTCATGATCACTGTCCCCCATACTGTCTCCCACTTTCAAGTTCTCAACTAGTTCCTCCCTATTTGTTAAAATCAAATCCAGAACAGCTTCTCCTCTGGTAGCTTTTTCAACCTTCTAAAACAGAAAGTTGTCTCCAATGCAGTCCAGAAACTTATTGGATAGCCTGTGCCTCGCTGTGTTAGTTTCCCAACATATGTCTGGATAGTTGAAGTCCCCCATCACCACCAAATCTTGGGCTTTGGATAGTTTTGTTAATTGTTTAAAAAAGGCCTCATCCACCTCTTCCACCTGGCTAGGTGGCCTGTAGTAGACTCCTAGCATGACATCACCCTCATTTTTTACCCCTTTTAGCTTAACCCAGAGACTCTCTACACAGCTATCTCCTACGTTCATCTCCACTTCAGTCCAAGTGTGTACATTTTTAATATACAAGGCAACCCCTCCTCCCTTTTTTCCCTGTCTGTCCTTCCTGAGCAAGCCGTACCCTTCCATACCAACATTCCAATCATGTGTCCCATCCCACCAGGTTTCTGTAATACCAATGATATCATAGTTGTATTTATTGGTTAGCAATTCCAGTTCTTCCTGCTTATTACCCATACTTCTCGCATTTGTATATAGGCATCTAAGATACTGATTTGATCTTGCCTCCCTGTTGTGCCCTGACCCTCCTTTCTCCTTGCCATTATAGGCCATAGTCCCCCCCATTTCCAACCCATCTTCCAGTCCCGCACATTCAGCACTTACCTGTGGGCTTTGCTCACCTGTCCCCGTCGAACCTAGTTTAAAGTGTTCCTCAAAGTGCTGCAGACCCACTTTGGGAAAGCCACTAGTGGGCCTGTGCTGCTTTATTAACCTAAAGGGTCCGTACCAAGGAGTCTTTCAGCTCCCATTGGCTCCAGTTTTCCATTTCCAGCCAAGGGGAGCCATGGGTAGCAGTGTAGCGTGGGCTGCTGCTTCTCTCAGCTTCCCTTCACTGGAAACAGGAGCCAATGGGAATCACAAGGTTCTGTGGCTATGGACCCTTTAGGTCAAGGGTGGGATATGCGGTTCCTGGCTTGCCAGCAATGGGGAGCCTGCTCTGGTGCTCCAGCTCCCCCTCTGCACTACAGCACACACAATCTGCTAGCTCTGGTGTATGAGGGAAATGAGGAAATGTGAGTTGTCTTTCTCATTTTCAGACAGGGTTTGTTTGTTTGTTTGTTGCACTTCTCACTTATATGTAGTCCCCAACTGACTTTTCTGTGGGTCAGAAAAAAGGTTCCCCTCCCCTGCTTTAGGTAAACAAAGCAGCATTGGTCCACTAATGGCTTTTCCAAAGTTCGTCCGCGGCTCACTTTGAGAAACTCTGGTTTAGCTCATCTTCTTTGTTTGTTTAATTAGCTAATTAGGGTTAGAATCTATCACCCAAGTATACAGTACAGAAAGTTGCAGTAAAAAAATCTAAAGTTGCCAGTGTGTCATTTTCTTATTTTATATGACATAATGTATGCCTCTTGTTTTGGAACATCATGGTCACAGGTCAGGTAAACAAAGCAGCATTGGTCACAGGTCATAATGGTGAAGACATACGTCTATTCTCTATTTTACTTCAGCATAACTCAGCTTTCTTAACGGAACCCCAACTTATACTTGTTTTCAGTGGGCTGAATGTTCTCTTCCTTAGACAGAGCAGTGGGCCTGAACTGCCTGCTATAAGGAAGCAATGTCCAGTCAATGATTATTCTAGTTAGCGAGGCTCCAGGAACAATGGCTCTCAAGGTGCTCAGTACACACCTGAGGAATGCGTCTGGACCCTGTAAACCAGCCAATATCATGGCTGCTGACATGGGACACAGGGATAGGTCACTTGGTAACGGAACCCCAACTTATACTTGTTTTCAGTGGGCTGAATGTTCTCTTCCTTAGACAGAGCAGTGGGCCTGAACTGCCTGCTATAAGGAAGCAATGTCCAGTCAATGATTATTCTAGTTAGCGAGGGTATGCCTCTTGTTTTGGAACATCATGGTCACAGGTCATAATGGTGAAGACATACGTCTATTCTCTATTTTACTTCAGCATAACTCAGCTTTCTTAACGGAACCCCAACTTATACTTGTTTTCAGTGGGCTGAATGTTCTCTTCCTTAGACAGAGCAGTGGGCCTGAACTGCCTGCTATAAGGAAGCAATGTCCAGTCAATGATTATTCTAGTTAGCGAGGCTCCAGGAACAATGGCTCTCAAGGTGCTCAGTACACACCTGAGGAATGCGTCTGGACCCTTTAACCCAGCCAATATCATGGCTGCTGACATGGGACACAGGGATAGGTCACTTGGCCATATGATCTGCTCCAGCTTGGAAGATACGAGGGATGGGTATAAAATGCCATGAGGTGGACTCCATCTTGCCTTCAGTTCTGCTACTGATTCCAGATACAGCCTTGCAAGGAACAGCGAGACGGGAAGAATCGTTAGCCCATTCTGACATAGGATGTACACCAGAGACGTTTAAGATAGGAGTTTGTAACATCTCTGCTAAGAGCCTACATCTAGAACTGGGTGATTGGTGCATGTAATGTATTTTCTTTAACAACATTACTCTGAACCTTTTCTTTCTTATGTTAATAAACCTTTAGATTTTAGATTCTAAAGCAGAGGTTCCCAAACTTTTTGGAGACGGGAAGAATCGTTAGCCCATTCTGACATAGGATGTACACCAGAGACGTTTAAGATAGGAGTTTGTAACATCTCTGCTAAGAGCCTACATCTAGAACTGGGTGATTGGTGCATGTAATGTATTTTCTTTAACAACATTACTCTGAACCTTTTCTTTCTTATGTTAATAAACCTTTAGATTTTAGATTCTAAAGCAGAGGTTCCCAAACTTTTTGATGGGACCAGTAAATCCATTCACGAGCTTTTGGAGGACCAGTAATATATATTTGCATATTCATTAAGTAAATGATGAATATTCATATGCGTTGGTTCTGGTCCTCCCAAAGCCCCCGTGCCAGCTTTAGCAAAGCTTTTGATATGGTCACCCACAATATTCTTGCCAGCAAGTTAAGGAAATATGGATTGTCATAAATGGACTGTAAGATAGACAGAAAGCTGGCTAGACTAGGGTTTCCCAAACTTTTTACTTTAGTTGGAACCCGTTTTTTTTTTTTCAGTACTGTTTTTTGCAGCCCAAAAAATATAAACACATATTAAAAAAAGAATGAAAAATGAATAAATTTTTACAGTTTCACCAGGCTGCATCCTTCACCCAGCCCAGGCCAGGGCTTGGGGACCCGGCGCCGCACAGGCACTCCAGGAGGTGGGAGCAGGAGCAGACTGGGGGTAGGGTATCTGGCTAGGAGGGAGGATGCCAGGAAGGGTAGGGTTGCCAGGGGTCCAGTTTTGTACTGGACAGTCTGATATTTGAGGCTTCTGTCCGGGAAACAAATTGAGAATATACCGGACATATAAAATGTCTGGTATTTTCTTATTAGGTAAGTTTTATTATTATTAGCTGTATCAGTTTGTAGTTGCGAACTGCTTGGCTGGTAGATGTGCTCAGGCTGTTTGAGTGTGTCTACCAGCCAGACAGTTCACAACTACTCGAGGGGGCAGTGTGTGTGTGGGGGGGCAATATGGAATCCCCAGAGCCGGACTTACTCGTGCTTCGCTGGGACTGTGAGCGGGATGGGCAGCGCTCTGAGATCTGCGTACACCCAGGTCAGTTCCACTTCCCG